TCTCGGGGCTGACCCCTGCTTCTTCCACAGGGCCAGTCACTGACACCGCCAAGTCACCACCAGCCCCTCAGGCCGAGACATCTGCCAAGTCCCCAGCCCCATCTGCCCCATCTCCCACCCCCAAGCAGAGCATTCTGTTTGGAATGCTGAACACCCCACCTGCTAACCCTCCTGTCTCTGCAGCTCCTGCTGTGTCTTCAGCATCTCCCATGTTCAAGCCCATTTTTGCAGCTCCACCTAAAAGTGAGAATGAAGGCCCCTTGCCTTCTAGCCCTTCTAAGGTCACAACCACGGCCTCTTCCAGCTCAGCCCTCCCCACGATGACCAGCACCCCACTTCTCACTTTCAAACCTGTCTTCAACACCATGGGGCCACCTACATCTGTGCCCCTGTTAACTCCCTTCTTCAAGCAAACAGCTCCTCCAGCCACTACCACGAGCGCCCCTCTCTTCACGAGCCAGGCCAGTGCCACCCCGACGGTGGCTTCCATGACCACAGCCAGCACCTCCACAGACTCTGCTCCGAAGCCTGCGTTCGGCTTCGGTGTGAGCAACGTGACCAGTACCCTGAGCAGCGTGACCAGCACCACGGCCTCCACCTCCCAGCCCTTCCTCTTTGGGACTCCGCCTGCTTCTGGTGCCAGCTTCACCCCGGCCGTGGGCTCCATATTCCAATTTGGCAAGTCTCCTTCCGTGCCTGCTTCAACAACAGTCACCACCTTTGGCCAGTCCCTTCCCAGTGCCGCTCAGACCGCCGCCAGCGGCAGCAGCACTGCCAGCTTTGGTGGTTTTGGCGGCACCCTCAGCACCTCCGCCCCGGTCACCAGCAGCCAGCCCACACTGACATTCAGTAGCACAAGCACCCTGGCGTTCAACATCCCCTTCAGCTCAAGCGCGAAGCCCTCTCTGCCGTCCTACCCGGGAGCCAACCCCCAGCCCACCTTCGGGGCCACTGACGGGCAGCAGCAGGGGGCGACCAAGCCAGGCCTTGCCCCTGGCTTTGGCAGCTCCTTTGCTTTTGGAAACTCTGCAGCCCCAGCCCCAGCCCCAGCCCCAACTGCAACTCCAGCGCCAGCCCCAGCCCAGCCGGCCTTTGGCAGCGCCACGCAGTCAGCATTTGGTGGTCTGAAACCCACAGCCTCTGCCTTCGGCACCCCTGCCAGCACCCAGCCAGCCTTCGGCAGCACCACAGCTGTTTTCTCCTTTGGTGCAGCCACCACGTCTGGCTTTGGAGCTACAACCCAGACCACCAGCAGCGGGACCAGTAGCTCGATGTTTGGCAGCGCAACGCCATCGCCCTTCACATTTGGGGGATCTGCGGCACCAGCCAGCAGCGGGGGCTTTGGGATCGGCGTGGCCACCGCAGGCACCAGTGCCACCTCTGGAGCGTTTGGCTTCGGAGCAGGACAGAGTGGGACCACTGGCAGCACCACCCCTTTCGGGGGAGGCTTGAGTCAGAACAGCTTGGGCATGCCCAGCCAGAACACAGCCTTTCCCTTCAGTGTGGCCAGCACGCCAGACAGCAAACCTGTGTTTGGAGGTAAGGTCAGGAGCTGACCTGGTTGGCTGTGCTGGGCGCTCCTGTGTTAGCACAGTTCCGCTCTTGGGGAGCGTTACGTTGTGGTAGCGGAGAGACAGGTATGAAACACACAAACACAGTGTCAGATTGCAGTAAGTGTCTTGATAAAGCATGTACTTAATAACGACTGGGGGCGAATGCCTTTCTGAGGAAGTAACACATTTAATCTCTGAGACTGTCTTTGTGATAAGAAGGATGTGGAGGTGTGAGGGGCCCAGAGGCAGAAACAAGTTGGGTAGGTTCATGAACAGAGGAAGTCAGGTGTGGCTGTATGTTTAAAAGTGGGGAAAGTGGTATCAGATGAGGTCGCGAGGTAGGCAGAGTTGAAGGTCAGTCATGCCAGGGTTGAGTGCCTGGATTGTCAGTACTAAGGGAAATCAGTGTAGAATTTCAAGCAGAAAAAATGAAATGATTTTTGCCTTGTGGAAGATGAATTATAAGGACTTTTGACCCTGGTAGCTTCTGTTTTCTTCACGGAGTGTGAGAGAAGTTCTCAAGGAGTGGGTTAGGCTGAAATGCCTACACAGGAGGGCCCATCGAAGCAGTCGTTCTGGAGCAGGGGAAGGGGAGGAGTGTCACAAGATGTCACAGGACCACAGGCCACCTGGAGGGTGGAAAACAGTAGTGAATTTAAAGTGAGGCAAGTCAGCATTGGTGCTTTTCCAGCAACATCCAGCCTAAAATCAGCGGTAGCAGGCAAAGCCAGCCTGTTGAAGCTCAAGCAAGTGAAGCCGGCAGGGCTGTGGACTGGGGTTCCTGAGGAGGCTGAGGAATCGCGGGAGCCAGGGTGCTCGGAACAGGGAGCTGGGAGCGAGGGCGGGGAAGTGGGGACTGGAGCAGCTGTGGCGGGGACGGGGAGACAGAAGGACTCCTGTGCAAGGTCAGCCCTCAGGGAGCAAGAAAGATGCCTGCCCCACTCCAGTCCCCAGACAAGGAAGAGCTCAGAGGACGCAGCCCTCCGCGAGGGGTAGGAGGGAAAGCAGCATCAGTGCTGGATGGCAGGATGGCGAGGGCGGCCACATTCGTTGATGACTGAGTCCCAGTGCGTCCGGTGGGGAGATTAGGGGACCCCCAGTGGGAAGGAGAGGGGCAAACAAGAGACTTAACGCATCTAGTACTGATAGAAGGGAGGTAACCTCAGGGTAGAAGGTGGGGGTCCACTGAGTGTCCCCTCTTCTGTGGTTTGGTGGTCAAGGGAACACAGGCCTGCTCCTTAGGTGGCCAGAAGGCAACCTTGAGGGGCTGTCTCTGCGGCAGCACAGCTGTGAGCAGGCTGGAGGCACACCTGGAGTGGCAGGTATTCGGGCTTAATTATCCCAAGCAGTTCCTCTGGTGGCGTGAACCGGAGCTGAGGGGTCCTCCGGGGGAGGCCCTACTGGGAGCAGAGACCCTCACTCGGATAATTACCATCTGCTTTGAGGCCCTCCGCTCACCAGCCTGGTCTCAAGAGTTCTCTGCTGTCTCTTCATCCTAGGCACCTCCACACCCACCTTTGGTCAGAACACCCCTGCCCCTGGGGTGGGCACATCAGGCAGCAGCCTCTCCTTTGGGGCATCCTCAACACCCACCCAAGGCTTTGTTGGAGTCGGACCTTTCGGTAAGCGGCCAGTCTCTTTGTTGCCAGCGTGACCTGCTTATCTCCTCTCTGAAGAGGGAGGGGGTGGGGTGGGCTGGTCCACCTGGGAGTCCAGCACAACCCAGGTTTGGAGTTGGACAGAGAGATCAGGGAGGAGCCAACTCAGGAAGAATTTCCCAGATCTCTGGGAAGCCAGGTAAAAACGCCTTCCTGGGCCTCACTCCCAGACTGTCTGTGGTTCTGGAATTTTGCATTTTTAATCAGCCCCTCCCCCAAAATGATTGCTAGAATTCGGGAAGCCCTTTCCTAGCATCCAGTGTTCTTCAGAGAAGTGTTGTCAGGTCGCAGCTGCCCTGATGAGATCTTGTTGAATCTTTCCAGGACCAGCGGCCCCTTCCTTTTCCATCGGTGCGGGATCCAAGACCTCAGGGGCTCGGCAGCGACTGCAGGCCCGAAGGCAGCACACCCGCAAGAAATAGCCTTTGTCCCTGCCCATTCCCCCGCCCCTTGCCCAAATCTGCTAGGAAGAGCCTCTGACCCCTCTAGTTCCATAAAGCAGACCTACCCCAGGCCTCTGGCTTCAGGCACCAGAGAGGTAGCGGCAGCCCCGGCGGCTGTTTCCCTCTCCTCCAGGAAGCAGAAGCCTCGGGCCATCGAGGGAGGTAGGGCGGGGCAGGAGCCTGCTACCTTACTTGAACAGTTCCGCTGGTGAGGCTGGAGAGAACTAAAGAAACACCTGTACATACGGTCCACTTCCTTCCCTGACTCTTGTGTGGTGTTTAAGCTTAGGCGGCCTCCCTTCCCGCCTTTTCCCTGAGAGCCATCTTTGCTGGAGGGTAATGGAGGGTCACCACTTGCATCTCTGACATGCACTTGATGGGACTGGGGGAAATGGATTATCCCTAAAGCTTTACCTTGCTTGGCTTGGCTATAAAAAGTGGTTCTCCCCTTCTTGTCCCTTTAGGGGGCTGTTTCCCCATTTCTTGCTGCTTTATCCCTCACTGGTTCCTTACAGGATCGATTCCTTTTAAAATGATCCTGAATCTAGCTTTGCCTTGGAGACCCCAGTGGGTGCTGCTCCTGCTGTTCCACTTCCTCCTGCCAAGTCTGAGCCGATGTTTCATCCCCAACCCTCTCTGCCAGTTTGGCCCCTAAAAGCTTGGTGGCTCAAGACTGTTAGCCTGGCAGACCCAGGGGTGGTACCTCACTCCAGGAGACGGAAGCTCTTGGAGCAGGCAGGATGCCCACCGCTGCTTTCAGCTGCCTCCTCACCCACCTTCCCTGTTGGCCTCACTGGGCTCGTCTGCCTCTCCGGGATTGTACGTTTAAAGCCTTGTTCTGTGTTATTTTGTCTGATGCTCATGTCTATTGCTCTTTGAATCGAGTTTGGAGGAAGCATTGAATTGTATGAGTGGCGGCATGTTGGTAGTGCCGGACTTAACTGTTTCTCAAGTTTCTGGGGCCTAGCTAATTGAATGTGCAAAGTAGCACCACTTTACGGCTGTTCAGTGCCGAGTCCTGGATTTTCAAATGGTGTTTTGACTTTTAAGGGCTGGCAGCCCAGGAGGATGGGGCCAAGGGGAAGCAAAGGCCTCTTCCCTCTGCTGTTTCTTTCCCACCTCCCTCACCTCACTGTAGGCAAGATCACCCGTAGGGTATGTTAGAAAACCTAAATTAATGAATCCCATTTTAAAATTACATTACTCCCCACCCCTTCCCTTCTTTTTCCTTTGTTCCAAAACCATATACCCTAGGCCCAAGAGCCTTGCTGCCAGGCCCATCCTCTTTGGGAGAAGTATGAATGCGTGTGTCTAAATTAAAAGAAAAAATATTTAAACATTTTTTAACAAAATAAAAATTTATTTTTGTATTTAAGCTAAATTGCCTTTTAAATTCCTTCAAGCTTGGTTCATTGAGGTGGTTAAGTATAAATGCTATTGACTAGAAATTAGCTGTACTGTTAAGTTATACCTGTGTGAAGAAGAGGCTCAAATGCTGTCCCAGGCAGCTTTCCTAAGGGACTAGAGCTCCTTCTGGAAACATATAAAAATGTAATTCTTATTTTATAAATAATGTGATGTAGATGTAACTAGTCCCCCCACCTTTGTGACTGAGGGTGAATGTTCTGTGGCAAGGGACTGCTCCTCCCCGCCCCCAAGAAGAGCTCTGTTGTGTGTGGAGCTGGGGGGGGCCCTGAACCTCAAATACCTACTAGATTGGAGGGGGGGTGGGGCACGGGTCTAGAAATCAAGCTTCTACCTATACCTTATGTAAGGTAGACCCTCTTAGTTTAGTGCTCTAAGCTAGTTTACCTCAGTTCCACCCACAGGCAGGACCGTTGGTCCAGGAGCCCCTGAAGCGGGCGTCCTGGTGCCTGAGTGTGAGCGCGAGTGTGTACACGTACGTGCACTGGGCAGGAGCGGGAGGCTGGGACTTTCCACGACAAAGACTGAATTCCTGTGAGTCTAGTTGGAATTTTTAGTATGAATGTGAGATTTTTCTCTTTGCTTATGTCATTAAGAATAAAAAAACTGTGATCTATCGTAGACCATGTCCTGCCTTTTATTTTTATGGGCGGCAGCAGCGTGTTTCACCAGCCAGAACACAGCCCGGGGAAGGGACCCTAGGTCTGGGGACATGCACTCTCTCTCCAGCTGGAGAAACAGGGTTCCTAGTTTTCTTCCTACAGCCATAAAAAGAACCTTTCCAAATAGACCTGCTGCTTGGGGCTGAGGGCCTGAGACCAAGCTGAGGGGGGCCCGAGGTCAAAGCTTCAAGCCCCTGCTATGTGTCAGGCCCTGTACTGGGAGCAGCTGCTGCTTTTTGCCGCCTCTTCTTTCTCTTTGGGGCTTGGCTGGGTCTAAGGTCTGGTGCTGGCGCCTCAGCCCGTGGGACGGAGCTGAAAGAAAAGTACGTTAAGTTAGTCATGCCCCATCTTCCAGCATCTTTGTAGCAGGCCCCCTACTCACTCACCTTGGCACCTCTACCCGTTCAAATACAGCAATGAAGAAGCCGCCCGTGAGCGTGGTCTCAGGGGAGGCCCGGAGGCAGTGCCCAGCATCTGGGAAAGTGCTGAGGCCTCGGTGTGGCCAGGAGGGGAGGGCAGGAGCAAGCCTGCAGAGAGGAAACGGCAGAAGCTTGAGGGAAGAGGGCAGCCCCCTCCCCCAGACCCTGGTGGACACCCACTACCTGAAGGCTCCTGAGCTCTGCTGCAGGGCGGCTAGTACCACATCTTCATTCTCCTCCTGGCAGAGGGAGCATGTGGAGTAGACAAGGCGCTGCAGGGCCGGGAAGGTGAGCGCGTGACTCAGCGCCCGCTGCTGGAACGCCGCCAGTGCTCGCAGGCGCTCCTTGCTCGGCGCCCCTGCGCCGGGCTCCTCCAGCTGCCTGGTCAGCATCCCTAAGGAAGAGGGCTTTCACCACACACTGCGTGACTTCGAATGAAATCCCCGCTTACAGACGAGAACGTCTGCCCAGGGTCACACGATGATTAAGAGTCAGAACTAAACCCAAGGCCAAAGCAAACTTCCACCCCTTCTGCTCTAAGGCTGCTCTGGATCTGTGGGGCCCTTGGGCACACTTTCCCCCATCTCACCGGAGCCGCTGCAAGAAGGATCCAGCAAGATATACTGGACCTGACGATAACGCTCGTCTGAGGGTGAGACAGCCAGGAAGTCCTGCTCAGCCAGCTCACAGCAAGAGACCCCGGCCCGGGTCAGCAGGGTAGCCATAGATGCCAGGCGCTTGGCATCCAGGTCAAAGGCAAAGATCTTCCTAGGGAAGAGGGCAGAGGTGAGGTGAACTGAGAATTTATGGAGCATGTAAGAGTCTATACCTCTGACATATGACAACACATACTTTTAAGTCAGGACAAACAGAAAATAGTATTTAAGTGTTTTAAAATTGTAAGTATTTTAAAAGGGTCAGTGGTTAGAAACAACCGGCCTGAGCACGCTGCCCCAAGGGCTAAGGGATACACATCTCACACCTGCAACCCACCGGGAAGCTCAGCTTGGGGCTAAACCACGAACTGCCCTTGGTCCAGAAGGAAGTATTGAAAGGAAAGGCCTCCTTTCAGTCTCATATCCTACTGGAGTAAGAGTTCCTTATTTCTTCTTAGAAAGTACAGGAGCAGACCTCACCCTACTCCTCTGACCATGGTGCTCACCCTTGGTTCTTGAGAAGAGCAGCCAAGTGACTGGTCTTGTTGCCCGGGGCAGCGCATGCATCGATGACGTGGGAACCTGGTGGTGGAGCCAGCAGCATGGCTGGGAGGCAGCTCGCCTGGTGGCGTGCACGCAGAACACAGCGGCTGGGTGAACAGAGGCCCTGGGCTGGGCACTCCCCACCTGCTCCTCCCTCTTCCACCCATTTTCCCTACCTTGTCTTGTAGGATAAGGTGACCGGCTTGGTACAGTGGGTGTTCATGCAGATCTGTCTGGGCAGGAAACACGAGCAGCTCTGGCAACAAGGAATCCAGAAGAAAACACTTTCCTTTGAGGGCCCCTAAGTCCTCGAGGCTGCCAGGGAATAAGAGCCATTCATTCCACGTTTTCTGAATCATTCCATGCCAGGCACCAGGCCAGACTTTTCACAGATCACCTAACTGCTTATTTATGCAACAAATGCTTAAAACTGCTATGAATAAATTAACAGGGTGACAAGATAGAGGCAGCAGTTAAGAGAATGGGGTTTTCAGGCCAGACTCTGGGTTCAGGATCCCACCTCCACAACTGACCAGCAGCGGGAACATGGGCAAGTGCCCTCATCTCAGCCTCTGTCTGCACTTCGGGAAAATGGTAGGTGTGAGGATTAAATGACATGCAAAATACTTAGGAAAATACTTTGCACAAGTCAGGCATTCAATAAATGTTAGCTGGTACTGTTACAACATAACCCCGGGGGCTCTCCCCTTGAAAGTGTACTTTCTATCCCTTAATAAATCCTCACTTGACTTTCATTCATAGATAGATAGATAGATAGACAGACAGACAGACAGACAGACAACCCTGGGGAAGGGCATGGTGCAGGGAGGTAAGTGCTGAGCCGATTTCTGATGGATGAGTTAGTAACATGAGGAGCTGAGGTGATAACTATATTCACTAAACTGCAAAGAAGCATTGTCCACTCCACCTGACTCACACAGAAACAGGCCTAGAGAGTAACAAGACAGATCAGAAAGCTATCAAGTGGCAGAACTAGAGTTCAAATCCAAACACAGCCATTCTCTCCACCCTGGTCTCTAAGCAGCATGCTAGAGGCAGACGGGGGAACATCTGTAACAGGTGGAGGGGAAGGGAGGGAGCAGAGGCGGCTTCCCAGAGCTGTAAAAGGACAGACCAGGAGGTAGGCGAGTGAGGGGAGGAGAGCCACGGCAGATGAGCCTGGAAAGGAAGCAGGAGGCACAGCACAACAGAGAGCCAAGAAAGGGTTTCCAGCAGGGCAGTAATACTTTGGATCCGGTTTCAGATCTGTCTCCAGCCCACACATGTGGGCAAACATGGCGATAAAGTCTGGAAGTGGGGAGACCAGTTTAGGAGATTCTTCTGTCAATCATGGCAGGAAATGATGCTTAAACCTAGGCACTGTCCAAGAGAATGAAAAGATCACTTTGTCAATGGACTAAATGCCTCAATCCAAAGATATAAAGTAGCTGACTGGGTTAAAAACAAAACAAGACCCATCTATATGCTGCTTACAAGAGACTCACTTCAGAGCTAAAGACACACACAGACTGAAAGTGAGGGAATTTTAAAAAGATAGTTCATGCAAATGGAAATAACAAGAAAGCTGGCATAGCAATATACGTATCAGACAAAGTAGACTTTAAAACAGTCTATAACAGACAAATAAGGGCATTATATATGATAAAGGATTCCATATGAGAAGAGAATATTACACTTATTCACATTATATGCACCTAATATAGGAGCATCTAAATATGTAAAGCAATTACGAACAGACGTAATGGGAGAAACGGCCAATAATACAATAGCAGGATATTACCACCATACTTACATCAATGGACATATTATCTGGACAGAAAATCAGTAAGGGAACAGTGGTCTTCAGTGACATATTAGTTGGACTTAATTGGTATCTACAGGACATTTCATCCAAAAACAGAATACACTTTCTTTCCAAGTGCACATGGAATATTCTCCAGGATAGATCACATGCTAGGCCACAAAACAAGTCTCAACAAATTTAAGAGGACAAATTATATCAAGCATTATTTTTCCAACCATAAAGGTATGAAACTGGAAATCAAGTATAGGAAGAAAAATGGGAAAAACACAAATACATGAAAACTAAACAATATGCTAAAAAAAAAACCCAAAATGAAACAAAACAAAAAACAAACAAACAAAACCCCAATAGGTCAATGAAGAAATCAAAAAGGAAATCAGAAAATACCTTGAGACAAAGATAAAAACACAACCTTCCAAAATCTATAGGATACAGCAAAAGCAGCTCTAAGACATTTAAAACAATGCAGGCTTACCTCAAGAAACAAGAAAAATTTCAAATGAACAACCTAACCTACCATCTAAAGGAATCAGAAAAAGGATAGTCTAAAGTCAGCAAAACAAAAGAAATAATAAAAAGAGGAAATAAAAGAGACAAAAAAAAAACCCCCAAAGAAATAGAAAAGATCAAAAAATCAAGAGCTGATTTTTTTAAAAAGACCAACAAAATTGATAAGCCTTTAACCAGGCTCATCAAGAAAAAAGAGAATTCAAATAAAATAAGATTTGAAAGAAATGTTACAACTAATACCACAGATTAAAAAATCATATGATCTTCAACATTTTTAGAATAAGAAAGAATGTCAAATCATGTCTCTGGGAAATTACGGATTTTGACATTTCTGTTAATAGAATTTCTCAGGCTTTCCCTTTTTAAAAGTACTGGACTCTGTAAGACGGCTCTGTGTTTGGGATCTCACTCCAGGGAGAAACCCACAGCTGGATTCCTCTACAGACCTCTGTCAACACTCTTGCCCTCCCTATCTTGTCTTGTTGATATTGTACTGTTGTTGAGGTTTTTATGTTTATGTACTTCATATATAGAATTCTGAGCTAGGGTTGCTTTTGTGGCCTTTCTGAGAAGCTCTAACCTGAAATAAGATTAGATAATGGTGTGGAGTGTGTTACTAAATTAAATATATAGATAAAGATACAGATATATAGATATATATACACACGTACAAATGATGCAGACATAGAAAAGTTATGAATGATACTACCTGATTCAACTGTGTAAAATAAACACTTAAGACAGTATTTCTTGCCTTGCTGAGATCTGATATAATGGAAATATTAAAATACTCTTCAGAATAATTTCTTCAGCTACAGTAAGCTTGGTGTCATAATTTTAAGAACTTGGTAGTAGAGCTCCAAGTGCTTCACATTTCTTCATTTGGCTTTTGGTTACTGAAGCATTATTTGAACTAGAGATTCCTGAGGGAAATGTTCAGAGGAAGTTTTATCAGGATTTTAATTTAAGGTTTCAAATGGAGGAAGGCAGGAAATTCAAAGTGTGACTGGAGAGAACCCCTGCCTCCCTTTGTCAGGGCTTCTCAGAAATAATCTGTTCTGGATAGCATGAATGAATCAATGTGCAGTTTTATTAGATGGCATTACAGATAAAGATAATGCTGCCTTTTCTGTCTCTCAGGGCTGTTTCCATGGAAACTTCCATAACCAAACAAAAGCAACCAATCATTTAGTCAAAGCTTGTCTTGGCGCATAGACCTGTATTTCTTTAAAGAAAACTGTTTTCATACATTTGGTTGTGAGAGCAGGGGCCCTTGAACATGCCCTAGATTACAGAATACTTCTTCTCTTCCAGAATGTTTCTCTTGAAAATACAAAAAAAATTTAAAATCTCTTGTCTGAGATCTGTACCCTGAACTTCCCTCAGCTCTTTAGATAACACCTCCAAACCTGTCCCAATATCACAGGTTTGGGATCATTTTTAGAATGTCCCTTGTCACATTAAACAGAATGAATTTACCCTACATGTCCTCGTAACAGATATGAGTGTTTGGAACCTTAAAGTAAACATATTTAGTGATCAAAGTCCTGGGAAATAAGACTTTAGAAAAGTATAGGAAATACTGAAAAAAAATCTGTAAGTTTGTGCAACACTGTATAACAAGTATAGGCTACTCCAGTGAATCCTAGATAAATTACTTTAGAAACATAAGGGTGACTTAACTTATTGGCCAAAATAACTGGATTACTTTGAGTATTCCAGGGTATGGTGCCATGGATAAGGAATTAAAGTAGGTCAAAATTTAAGTGAAGTTGGTATCACTTTCTAAAGCTAGCTGTTCAGAGGAAGAAAACCACACTTTTTTCTATAGCCAATCAAATACTCTCTATATATAATTAATACTCGTATCTTTTTGTAAAATTCTTAACCTTTTGAATTTAAACCACAGTCTAACAGTCTTTTGACAATAATGGTGGTGTGATCATCCTTTTGTCTCACTGGATTTTATAGTTAGTGAAACTATCTTTTCTCAACAAAATGTATTTGAAATAGTTCTGTCATTTCATTTATAAATTCTGTCTTGCATTGTGATTTAATTAACCTTACTGTCCTTATGAAATGAAATGGTGGCTTTTTGAAATAAATTTACCAAAAACAGACATGTAAACATTTTTATAGATTCCTTATTAACTGAAACCAGACAGGTATCTTTGGAGCTGATATGCCACTTGTTTATAGGCAGTTTGGATAAGCCTATCTTCCAAGGTATACATTTGAATTCAACTTGGATTCTTTCAAAAAAAAAAATCATAAGAGATACCACAAACAGTAATATACCAATAAAGGACAACAGAGAAGAAATAGATGTTTTCTAAAAACATAAAATCTTCCAAGACTGAATCAGGAAGAAACAGACAAGCTGAAAAGACTGATCACTAGCAGTGAAACTGAATCAGCAATCAAAAAATTCCCAGCAAACAAAAGTCCAGGACCAGAGAGCTTCACAAAGGAATTCTATGAAACATGTAAGGAAGAGCTAATACATATCCTTCTCAAACTATTCCAAAAAACTAAAGAGGAAGGAACACTCCTAAATTCATTCAATAAGGCCACCATTACCCTGATACCAAAACCAAAGACACTACAAAAAAAGAAAATTACAGGCCAATATCTGTGATGAATACAGATGCAAAAATCCTCAACAAAATATTAGCAAACTGAATTCAACAATAAAGATCAGACACCATAATCAAGTGGGATTTATTCCAGGGATGCAAGGATGGTTCAATATCCCTAACTCAATCAATGTGATACACCACATCCATAAAAGTATAAAAATCACATGACCATCTCAATAAATGCAGAAATAGCATCTGATTAAATTCAACATCCATTCATGATGAAAACTCTCATCAAAATTAGTACCAAAGGAACATATCTCAACATAATAAAGGCTATATATGATAAACCCACAGTTCACATCATACTCAGTAGGCAAAAGTTAAAATCTTTTCCTCTAAAAATCAGGAACAAGACAAGGATGCCTACTCTAGCCACTTACATTGAAGACAGTATTGAAAGTCCTACCCACAGCAATCAGACAAGAAAAACAACTAAAAGGCATCCAAATTTGAAGGGAAGAAGTAAAATTGTCACTATTTGCGTATGACAAGACATAGATTTATTACAACTAATAAATGAATCCAGTAAAGTTGTAGGATACAAGATTAATATACAGAAAGCTGTTGCTTTTCTATACACTAATAATGAACCATCAGAAAGAGCAACAGCAGAGCAGGATATAGCTCAAGCAGTTGAGTGCATGCTTAACATGCAGGTCTCAGGTTCAATCCCACTACCTGCTTTACAAGTAAATAAGTAAATAACCTAATTACACCCCCCAATTTCAAAAAAAACTTAAAAAAATAGACTCTTAAAAAAAAGAGAGAGAGAGAAAGCAAGAAAACAATCCTGCTCAAGACTGCATCAAAAAGAACACCTAGGAATAAACTTGACCATGGCGGTGAAAGACCTATACTCTGAAAACACATATAAGACACTGATGAAGGAAACTGAGATGATATAAAGAAACAGAAAGATATCCCGTGTTCATGGACTGGAAGAATTAAAATTGTTAAAATGTTCATATTACACGGATCCCTGTTTCCCAGGCACCTCCTTAGATGATGACAGCCAGGCAAGGTTCTAAACTCACCTGGAAGCCCGACCCTGGTAGGAGAAACCTTGTCTCTTGAAATAATCAATTGTATCCTCAGAGCAGGTCTTCAGAGTGTTCACCCGCACAAATCGAGGCACCTGGGAGGCTAGGAAGCAATGAGCAGTGAGTGGGCAGGAAGACGGCCCTCTCCTCTCAGGGCCTGTTGGTGATCCCCCACGCCCACAACTCCTTCCAGCTCACCTGGACCAGGCTTGGATCCCACTGCCAGCAGGTCCTCATTGCGGCTCACACCTCGGTGAACCTTGAGCCGGGCCAACTCTGCCTTCAGCCTTGCCTGGTGCCGGTCCAACAGAGCCTTCCATCGACCCCCACGCCCTCTAAAGCCTCTTCCCAGCAACAGCTCATATACTAACACCTGGGGATGAGGACAGGAGGAGCTAAAACCTTGAGCATTATTAATTCCTTAGAACTCCACAGTGTTGGAACTGGAAGGACTAAACAGATCACCTGTCAAGACAGTAATGTGTGACCTTGTTCAAGATCACACAAGAAATTAATGGCAGATATGTGATTTGAACCTGGTGCCTTTCTTCCCAGTCCGGAACCCTTTCCCCATGGCTTCTCATCAGGAGAGCTCTGGATCCCAGCCCTCCTCTTTGTCAACATCACCCTTTTGTTCTACCCAGTCTCTACCGCCGCTACTCTGCACTTCTGTTCTTAATCTTTCACACAACGCTCGAGGTTAAAGCATCTTCATCTCACCTCAATTCATAACCCAGCGAAGGGCTGCGCCTCCTCATTTCAGAGGAGCAACTAGCTAAACTCACATGGTGGCTGGCAGTGGAGCTGGGACTGGGCTATAAGAGATCAACCTGCCCCAACCCTCCCCGCTAGCTACCTTGGCCAGGTGCGGCCGCAGCTTCTTCTCGGCGCGGAGGAGGCCGGCGCTGGTGATCACGGCGTCCAGCACCGCAGAGTAGCGCTGTGTCTCGCACACCAGTGCATACAGCTGCTTCACGTTCTGCGCGCGGCCGAAAGGACCCAGGTAAGGCGGGGGCCAGGCGGGGAGCCCCAGGCCGGGGCTCCCCTCCTGCCCCCGCCCAGGCCCGAATCCCTCTACCTGGAAGCTGCTGGCATACACCAGCCCTTTGAGGGAACCCTGGCGGCTCTCCACGCCCGCCAGCACTGCCGCCGCCGCCGCGTACAGCGCCATGCTCCGCTTCCGCGCGCCTTTACGGCTCTGTCGCGAAGTGCGCCGGCTCTGTGCCGCCCCGCTCCCTGGGACTTCCGGGGTCAGAGGGCACGGAGGTTCCGAACCCGGAAGTGCCCTGCCGGGTTCCCACTACTCATCCCAACCACCAGCAAGGCGTTTGTCGGTTCACTCTTCTGTCAGGGTATGGAGGCCGACGCTGGTAGCCCGGTTCACCACTTCGTAGCTCTTCATTTTTGTCTTTCAATTTTTGCTGCTCTCATAGGCAATGAGATTTTACTAACGTTTTAATTTCTGTGATTGAGGTTGAGTATTTTCATGTTGTTGGTCATATATATTTCTCTGTTGTAACACGTAAATGTCTTTTGCTCACTCTTCTACCGTCTTTCTCTTAGTGTCTTTTATGTATTAATATATATCCCTTGTCTTGTATTGCCATTTTTTTTCTAGTTTATTGCTTTGTAATGTGGTTTATAATTTTGGACAACATGGAGTTCTCATTTTTTAAATCTTTACCTTTGTTCTTTCTGCCTTTGCTGTCATGCTTGAAAGCCGCTTTGGACCTCTACAGTGGAGAAGTTATTTACAGCTTCATCATTTCAGTTAACTGCATTTAGAATTGGGTCTGGCACATACTGTGATGAATGGCTCTAACTTTGTTTCCAAATGGTAGCCTTTCATGCATTCCTTGGGATGATTCATCTATAGTAACTTTTCCCCAGCCTGACCCTTGAGAGGACAGGGATTGGGTGGTGTTTGTGTCCCCAGAACCCATGTGGTTACTGATGCATGATGGGTTGATTGGAGGAAAAGAGAAAGAAAAAAGAAAAAACCCACTACATGTGTATCTCAACTATTCAAGCAGACAGACCCCCATGGACTAGAATATTCCAACCTGTATATTTTCTGTACTGCTAACAGCACTGCCTTGAGGGCAGAGCAGCTACATAAGTTATTTGGAATTCCTTTGCACAGATTTATTTCAGTAGGGACTCATGGATGTTTATTTTATACTTTGGGTTGTAATCCAAAATATTTTGTTGCTCAAACTTTTCCTGTTTTGGCCACTGGAAGTGCTTTCAGTTGGCTCCTATATCCCTTTCACAGGCCTCCTTTACTCCAGGGTTTTGGGTTTTTGTTTGTTTTTGAGCATTTCTTTGCTTTCTGACACTAGAAGATACTCAAAGCCCATCTTGTGTATTTCCTGCTTGAGCCCTAGAACCAGCCATTTCCCCAAGAAGCTTTCATTCCTTTTATTGTAGAATGGTACAAAGAAACCAAGATGTTAATGCTAGGTGACCTGTATCTTTTTATTTCTAAAATGTGACCCTTAGAAAACTTAAACCTATGTTATGCTCAAATACTTCTACTGGACAGCACTGCCTCTGTCCTAAAATGACTTCTCTTAATCCCATTTTCAAACTCATGACCCAGTTCTCTTTTTCCCTTCACTATCAAACTTTTTAAAGGGAGAACCAGCAATTCTTGCCTTTACTTCTTCCATCACATGCTGTTATTTAACTGCCTTCACTCTGTCTTCACCCCACTGCACTGAGATGGCTCCCTCTAAAACTATGAAGAATCTCCAAATACTCCTCAGTCCTTTCCTGCTGAATCTGGGGTTCATGGCACTGCTGAACTTGCCTTCTTGAAAAACTCTGGCTTCAATGACCTCCTCTGCTAGCATGCCCTCCCATCTCTCTGATCATTTCTAAGTTTCCTTGGCAACCGTATCTAAGCTGTTCCCTTAGGTTCTGGTGTTCCATCTTCTCAACTCCTTTCCATTAGTCTGGTATTTTCGCCCCAGACAGACTCACCCACTCCCACAATGTCATTAACAGAACAAAGTTAACATACACTAAAGTAGCATCGATGACCCCTCACCCCAGACCAGCCCTGCCCCCGCCTCATCTCTGAGACCAGCTCCAGCTGCCCCATTCCTTTGTGGACCTAGATTCCTGAAGGCTCTTCTCCTCTGCCTGTCCTCCACTTCTTTCAGCTCAAATGCCAACTCCACATGAAGAATTAACTGCCCTTTCCTCTGCCTTCTGCATATTGGATGTGTATCAGTTAAGATCTTTTGGATGAAAGCATAAACACTAACTCTGGTTAGCCTACAAAAGAGGGCACTTATTAAATGGGTGCACAAGTATGCCATTGATTCTGTCAGGATCTGGCTGGAGACAGAAAGGTGCACACAAGAGAGGAGTTGAGAGTTTAAAGAAGGGACTACTTGTAAAAGAATGGTGGTGGAGAGGGGAAATAGCTCAGTGGTAGAGCGCATGCTTAGCATGCATGAGGTCCTGGTTTCAGTCCCCAGTACTTCCATTAAAAAAAAAAAAAGAAAGATCAGAGTTAAGGGAATCTATGGGAAATGGTGCAACAGTCAGGGCTGGCAACAGTGCTGTTTACCACTAGGCCTAAAGGAACAAGGGAAGAGTAACAGAAGGAGAGGGCCACCTGCCAGGAGTCTTTTGCAGAGGGAAGCTGCCAACCCATTGCCCAGCAGGCAGAAAACCAGGAAAATCAGTATCTCGAACTCCCTCTCCTGCCTTGGGATCTCCTGCCAGTCCCTCCCCTCCACTGAATCCAACAGTAATCCAAAGGAGTTTGTATTTCAATGGGGCCAGCCTCCCCGGACACAGCAAGGAGGAGAAGGTGGAGAGTGGGCATGGAGTCATGGAACTGAAGGAAGAGCTGCATAACCAAAAACTGGATCTGGAAGTTGTCAAGCACACAGCAACCAAGGCCAATGCCCAACAGATTCAGCTGGTCAAGAGATAACAAGCAGCTTTTGATTCAGTTTGTTACCTACATAGATGGCAGAAGGCAGATTAGCCAAAGGTGGCAGCTCCACGTGGTCCTCGTTTCACACGCCAAAAACGTTGGTGTGGAAATCAAAGGGCTCTTGGCTGAAACTTGAATTGTGGGATATCCCATTGCTGAGAAGCCAGTTCCAGACACAGCTAAGTTGTTTTACAGGCTGCAGCCCTACTGGGAGGAAGGTGGGGCAGAAAGCCTCAGGGTTCATCAGAGCCCAGAAGTCTCCCATGGGGAGTCCTATGAGTCTCCCATGGGGATGAGGAGGTCGGTAAAGATGGCCCCGAGATGGCGCCGCACAACCCTCCCTCCTCTCCTGTTCCTGGAGGATGGCTCAGATAGGCCATGGGGCAAGCCTTTGTCCATCTGGCCGATGTGGATTCATGCACGGAATCTCTCAGGCAGCTCCACAGACCTCAGGGCACCAAGCCTCAGATGACTCAGCCCCAACCACTTTCTCTCCTCTGACTTTCAGATTCTTGGGAGAGAATTCAGCTGTCCCAGCCTTGGTCTAGGGAGGCCACCGTCAGACGTGGCCAAGGGCAGGCTCACCATGAACAGACATGGCTCTGGGCCCACTCCTATGTGCCCAGCAGCTTTCAGGGATCAACCACACACCCGTCTGGCCCCGACTCGTCTCTGCTCTGAAGGAGTGTCATTTCCACCTCCTCTAACAGAAAGGGAAGTCGACAGCAGTCTCTGACAGAGTGGTTGACATGACTGACCACAGACTGATGGGCAGGGGGTGGAAGCGAGATGTGGCCCCCACCAGAGGCTGGAGCTGCTTTTAAAGACCCAAGCATCAAGCAGTGTATATATACAGCAGTTCATAACTGCAAATCACTTGAAAAGGGAGAAACAGTATCAAATTTATTATCCTTGAAGTTATTTAAAGGTCACAGTGATGGGGAAAATTATGTGAGGGAGTGTTGCCACCCTCAGGGGAAAGAGGAAGCAGAGATCATGGTTAGGAGGGGCCAAGGGAAGCCCAGGTTGACCAATGGACACCAAGGCCTGGCTCTGCTGGTTAATAAGCAGGTTAATAGCCTGGAAAAAGATTGATACACACGCCCCTGGCCAATGCAGATAGGACCGTGGTCCTTTTCTCCCTATCATTTAAGTGTTTCTAGGGACCCCCAGGCATGAAGACCACCCCAAACAATGAACACATCACCTCTGCTCCCTAGGGCCAGCAAGACCCCTTGTGTCACCGCGCCCGCTGGGAAAGCAGCCCCGCTGGCATGCCTACAGCTTGGTGGGCTGCGGGGGGCTGAGGTGACCAGGCCCGCTAGGCGGGGGCAGCACCATGGGCAGGGAGTTGCTGCCCCTTTCGTGCCAACACGTGTCCAGGATGGGGTAGAGCTTGCCCTGGAAGTCGGCCTGGAATGTGTAGAGAGGCCGCAGGTCATCAGGGCGGTCGGCATCAAAGAAGGTGAGCTCCCCCTGCTCATAGTGCAAGTAGACGCCGATGCGATGGGGGTGGCCGGCCACGGGCAGGGGCACCCGTGGACAGCCAAAGGCTTCATACCCCCGGCCCTCCTTCAAGCCGATGAGCCACACGCCATGCTCCGGGGACTTGTTCACCTTGCCCTTGCGACTGGCCGTGCCCTTGATGACCCCCAGGCGCCAGTCGCTCTTGCTGCCCACCACCACCTCCCAGTAGTGGCGGCCGCAGGAGAAGCCCCTGCTGGCCAAGACGCACGTACTATAGTCGAAGCGCTCAGGCTGGCTGGCGCGCCGCTGGGCCAGGAGCCCGCACTGCACCACTGTGTTGCCCTTGGAGAGCTCCAGGAGCGGGTGGGCCGTGGCAGGGTCCAGCTTGAGGGACTCCGGGGCTGGGAAAGATCAGAGAAGATGTAGTTTCAAGCCACACAGGAGGCAGCAGACTCTGCCCCAAGGGAGGCCGACTGGAGGCCCTGAGCTCCTGCGGGGAGGACCTGCCTCAGCCTCATCCCACATGGACTAGAAGGGGCTGGGCCCGGAGCAGGTAACCCTAAGGGTGTTTGCTGATGAGTGAATGATACCCGAAGAATGGAAAAAATGGGCAGCTGTGAGCTGAGGCATTCTGGTAAGGGAAACAGTGCGGGCAGCCTGCCTAAGGCCAAGGTGCTGATGGAAGGACCTGGAAGACCGCCTGCCACTGTGCTCCTCAGCGTCACGCCCCAGGTTTTCTGGAGAATCTGTAACAACTGTAGCTGCTTTCTTGGATCCCCTAGCAGCCTGCTCAAGGACAAACTATCCCAACTGACCTCTCTGCTCGCTGCCAGCTAATCAGTTACGCCCCAAATGTGCAAACAACTCAGAGATTATCTGTAGTTTTTTCCCTCCCGTTTCTCCTTTTCTCCTTTATAAACCCTGTTTTTGCCTTTGTTGGATGAAATCAGTCTATTGATGGATCGCCCTTCTGTGCTCGTAATGCAGGAGTTAATTAAATGTCTGAGTTATTTTTTGGCAGAGCCACAACTACCATTATTGGGCACTGAACTACACACGGATGTCTGTTTAGAAGCTATACAGCCCAGCAGGGTGGGCTCAGAAATTACACAACTCATTTGGTCATTGGTTAGTAAGAGAGGGAGCTGAGCTGGAGCCCACACTGCTGGGGGAAGCCTATCCCTCGCCCTCAGCTCTAGCCAGGCCGGTCTGCCTTTTGTTACCCTGCACCTCACACAGCGTAGCGCCCAGGAAGGATGATGGGTTGAGTTGGGGGTGGGGGCAGGGGCCTCACCTGGCAGAACCTTTCGGAAGAGCCTTTTCCACACGGTCAGCTTGATGTCAGCCTGGTGCAGGCCTGGTTTGAAGGAGATGGGGCTGAATGCACCTTCCAAGGGCCGGGCCTGCTGGAGCTCTGCTCTGCGGGCAGTGGTGCACAGGGATGGCAGACCTGCTCACCGTGCACCCCAGCCCTTCACCTGGACGCCAGTCCACAGCTCAGAAGCCCGTGCACTCAAGATGCCCGCCACGTCCTCCCCGCCACCCTCCTCTCAGAGGCCCGGCCTCCTCCTGGATGGCAAACCCTCCACATCAGTAGCTCTCAAAGTGCAGGTCTGGGGCCAGCAGCATCACCTGGGGACTTGTTAGAAATACAAATTCTCTTGGGTCCCACCCAAGACCTACTGAATCAGAGCTGATTACTGGGGCCCGGTGAGCTGTGTTTTAGTGAGCCCTCCAGGTGGTTCTGATTCACATTGCTTGAGGACCACTTCTCTGTATCCAGGGACCCAGGCCCCCAGCTCCAGCTGGAGTGGAAACCAAACTCAGCCAGTCAGATCCTCTGCCCACTCAGTTAAGCCAATGCTCCTGACCAAACAGTCCTTAGGACAAAGGGAAATTTGAGAAAACAAGCAGATGCTCATAAACAGGGCTGAGGAAGGCTCAGTACGAGTGGTTCATTTGTTGGGACTAGAGAGTGGATCCAACCCCCTTCTATAAGCCGTGATGCCTGTTCCGTTACCCACCATCACCCTCTCCTCTCCACTTCTGCCCTGTTACACCTGCAACACTGAACTTCTCGTAACGCTGCAAGCTCGACGCACTTCACTCTTTCACATGACTCTGCCTGCCCGCCACCTCCTGTCCTTTGCCCTCTCAGCCACCCGACCTGAGCACTCTTTGCCCATCTCCCCTCATCACCTCCTCCTCCTTGTTAGTTCTGTAGCTTGTGTAAACTTCTACTGTTCTAGGTACGCAGGATGAGGTAACCACCACCACCTCCCGTGAGGCTTGGCGACCCCTGAAGGCAGGGATGTGACTTTCCCTGTGCTCAGTACAGAGCCGGAGGTGGGCGGCTGCCCCCAAGGCCCCATGAAAACTGAAGGGAGGATCTAGTGGACGTGAGATGCCCAGGCCCGCAGCCACCAGACCCTCGCTGAGGACTCCCTCTGAGGTGATTACCTGGAGGCCATGGAGTGGTACTTCTGGAAGACAAGAAGGAGGTGGGTTAGGGCATGGAGGAGGCTACACGGAAGCCATTAGGAAGGGGGAGGCCCTCGGGGCATGGGGGACACTCCCTCGTCCTCTCACCCGGATGAACTCATGGTGACTCTCGTTACCGAGCTGCTCCAGCACACCCTCAGCCTGGACCAGCCGCTCCCGAGCGCCCCGGGCCTGCTCCAGCTGCATGTCCAGGGAGGCCACGAGGCCGCGTGTGTGGCCCTCCACCCCCTCCAGGCAGCGGGCCTTCTCCTCATCCACCAGGTGGTGCAGCTCCTGGAACTCACGGCGGATCACCCAGCTGAAGACGTCAGACTCATTCTGGGACAGGAGGGGGCTGGTCAAAGCGGGAGCTGTGTCCCCAGAGCCTGGCCGCTTAGGCCTTGCTGAGCCTTCCCGATGGTGCTGGTCCTGGTACCCGACTCCCAGGCTGACTCCTGCCAGGGTGCTCACATGCTGCCTGGGGGTCCCAGGTGTAGCTGTGGGGGAGGTCAGCAGTGGCGGCCAAGAGGCGGGGCACAGCTTAAACGCAACGGCCCTGCTTTTGCCTGTTTTGACCACTAAATGCGAACACGAGATTTTGCGCTATCACAGGGTTCCGCAACTGAGAAACAGGCTGAAAGATCCCGGAGAGCAGGCTTTGCAGTGAGATAACCAGGATTCCCTGTGTGACCCTGAGTTCTGCCTTCCTTAGAAAGGGTACTGCTGTCCCCATCTCCAGGGCAAGGAAGATAAACTGAGTTGACTTTCAAGGGACATGGGTCTTACTGGTCTCCTGCTCCTGTTTCACGACCGCCTGCAGCGCCCAGACTCCACACCCTCCCAGCCCCAATGCGCCTCTCAGTTAGGAAAAGGAGACAGCCACCGAGGGCTCAGGCCTTTCCATGCCTGTGCTCCAAGGTCCCGGCAGGGCACCGCACAAGCTGTCAAGGGCAAGCAGATACAGGTGGCAGGAGTGGGCGGTCATGCCCACTGCTGAGCTGTTTGCCTCCAGGACTGGTTCTGGGTTATCTCACTCCCAAGGACATGGAGGACATAAGCCAACTTGGAGACAGTCCTGACAACTGTGCAGAATTCCCCTAAGAGCCTTTGCACTTTCCCCACCCTGCCCTGGAATGCTCTGAATTCTGGCTTTATATGGAAGACATGGATTCCTGTAAGGGACAAATTAGAAGTGGGATCTGCAGGAATGGGTCCCGGGGAGGGCACAGGGACGGAAGGGGAGGGCACTCACAACAATCCGGGTCCTGTTGTTCACCAGTTTGGCAATCTGCTCATCCACCTTCTTCTGCTCCTGCTTCAGGTCGGAGATGAGGGCTGCCAGCTCCTCCTGCAAGCAACGCACCATGACCCCACAAGCCGCCAACCCCTCTCCCTCTCAGCTTCTGGGGGGCAGCCCTGGGCCTTGCCCTTCCTGGGAGCATTCCCTGTGGAACCAGGGAGAGCCCCAGATACCCCTGACCCTCAAATAGGTAGGACTATTCAAGAATATTCCACACTGATGGCAGGAACTGCCCAGACAGAAGAGAACCTCTACGTTATCCTTCTATGACGTGGACAGAGCTGCTGAAAGTTGTTACAGCCACCCCGAAGTCACGACACACCATCCAACAGGGGCAGCTACCAATCTGAAGTCAACACTCCCTGCATGGAATGCTGCCTGGAGGGTAGCCACCAGGTGAACTTTCTGGTCACCAGCAGGTCCAGAATTAGTGGGCATCTGACCAATAGTCATCACGAAAAAGGCTGGCCCCAACTGAGGCCAATGGGACATGCAGCGGCCCAGGTTACACCTGGTGACCCCCTACTCCTTATAAAGACCTCAATCCATCCCCAGAAGCCTTGGGTGACTTAGGGCCTCCCAGGCTGAAGCAAACTCACTTCTCCTGGGCTGCCCTGGCTCCCATGTGACCTAGCCTTAGGGGTCCAACCAGAACCACCAAGATCATCATCTGGCTGCACCACGATGGGAGCCCTGCAGGCTTGTGCCCATGGAGAGTACAGAATCTTGGCGTAGGTAGTGCCCAAGCAGAAGTCAGATGCAAGAGCCTTTCAGAGAGGGAGCTGAGATAAAAACAAAGCAACGGGGGAATCATGGACACAGAGTCCTTGCTCTCTGGCATCTCATAGCAGCCTGGGAAGGGCATCCCAGTGGTAAATGCTCCTGAGGCAAAGAAAGAGGGGACTGGTTCTTTCTCATCAACTTGGCCAAAGTGAGTGGGAACAGAACTATGCAAATAAATAAACCATCTCAAGATCTCAATCGATAAAACAGGACTGCATGAAAGAGATCTGATAAAGAAAATTAATTTGGTTGCACCACAGAGAGGAATCTGGAGATCACAAAAACCCACATCCAAAACCGGGACCCAAGACCTCCCCAGCCTATAGCCAGAAATGACAAGCTCCCACATGGCTCCTTCTCTGCTAATAAAACTTGGACTCCACTTCATTGCAGTGCAATTTGCCTTCCTCCACTGTAATCCCTGCACCTGGGCAGCTGCTCGAAAAGTGTGCTAACAGTGTGAGTTCTGCTCCAGGGCAGAGGTGCTGGGAATGCAGGACCGGGCTCGGAGTCCCCAGGGGGGACCTGGCTCTCCACTCCCCAGCAGCCTCGCTGCCCACCTTCATGCGGCTATAAACAGTGGACACAGGTGTGACCCGATGATGCTGGTGGGAGCCCAGCAGGCCACACAGGCCGCAGATGAGCTCCTGGTCCTTCTCACAGAAGAGGCTGAGCGGGTTCCGGTGGTGTGCGCAGACCTGGGGCTCCGGGTCTCCAGGCAGCTGCAGGGCTTCGATCACCCGCGCCAGGGAGACGTTGGGTGGGGAGCTGCTGCTGTCCACTTCCTGCCGGCACACAGGGCAGCGCAGCTCTGAGTCCAGGTGGCGGGACAGGGACAGCAGGCAGCGCTTGCAGTAGGAGTGGCCGCACTGCAGCATCAGGGGCTCCTTGAAGACCTCCAGGCAGATGGGGCACTGCAGGCGGTCTTCCAGCTCCAGCACGCTCACCTGCCACGCCATTCACAGCACCCGCTGGAACCCAGGGCAGCCTCCCTGGAGCCTGCTCCCTGCACTCCTTCCACCTCCAGCCCCCAGCGCCCCTGAAAAATGAGAGGCTCTTAAGAATGCCAGTCCTGACCCGCGATGACCTTGGGCCTCTTCTCCCATCTTTAAAACAAAGGGCTTATATGAAAAGGATGGTCACTTGGAGGTACAGGACTCTACACTTTTAACTTGAATTTGGAGGTAAACATGAAAGGGGCCATCTGAGGGGTCATTTGGAGCAACACAAATAGTGCAAACTCCAGCCCAGCTCCTGACCTAGAACTAGACAGCAAAAACAAGCCAAGGTCCTTCCCACCTTCTGGATCAGTTCTCAAACAGGAGAGCAGCTGTTGGAAGCATAGTTACAATCGAATTCCTGAGTCACCCTTTCACACATCTCCAGTGAGCCCCGGAAATCCGCATTTACAACAGACGCCCCCCCAGGTCATTCTAAAGCAGAGAGTTTGGTGTTAGAACACACTGTTCCAGAGAGTCTGGCCCTTGGAGGGCTATCTCCGAAGCTCCCACCCAGCTCCCCTGTGAAAACTGGAGCTGAGGGAAGAGAAGCATCTCACCGGAAGTCGGCAGTGGGCCCAGGGGGAACCCCCACAATGGACTACCTGGTTTCTCAGGATTCGCTGGGGCCTCACACCCGCATCACTGACCCACTCTGCTCAGCGTTCTCTTCTCCCCAGGATGGGACGGCAGACCTGGGGACTGCAGCTGGGCACCTGCTGTACCAACTAATCTCTGCCCCTTTCCTCCTCCCTTTTCCCAGAAACACCCAGGTGACCTCAAGGTCGCTCAGAATCAGGTGGAAGCTGGGCCACATCACGGGACTGGGGAGGCAGCCTCTACTTGGCCAGCTCCGATAACTGCAATGCTCAGGTGCGCGCCTGGGCCAGGCACGGGGTAGGGGTGGAGACAGGGGACCGGCACCTGCTCCTACCTCACAGGCCCCAGACAGGAACGGACTTGTGCTTTAACACAATTCTTTCTGAACCTCAATCTCTCTCTCTCTTCAGAATTTTGAAGGTATTTTTATTTACCTAGATTTTTAAGTTGACGTATAACTGCTTTAAAGTGCACAAATCTTAACCATACACTTGAGATACAACATATATGTATATATACACACTCACTCTCCAGGTCAAGATGCAGAGGAGCTTCTGGGTTGGTGAATGCATCCCTGTGCTGGGACAGTAGTGCACCCCAGTTCCCCGGGGAAAGAAGCCTCTGAACTCCGGACCCTTCCAGACTTCACCCTGTATACCTCTTCACCTGACTGCTCATCTGTATCCTTTATCAGGAGGGCTTTTTTTTTTTTAATGGAAGTCCTGAGGATTGAACCCAGGACCTCTTGCACTCTAAGCATGGACTACCACTGAGCTATACCCTCCTCTCTTGCATTCTTTATAATAAAGTGGTAAGCATTAAAAAAAAAAAGATACAGAATGTTTCCAGCACCCAGAAGGCTTCCTCATGTGCCCCCCAGCTAGAACCCCTAATAAGGGCAGCTACTATCTTGACTCCTAGCATTGTAGATTAATGTGGCCTGGTTTTGAATTTTAAATAAAAATAATTCAATAGTATGTATTATTTTGCATCCAACTTCTTTTATTCAATATTAATGAATTATGAACATTCTTATTAAAAGAACTTCAAAGGTTTACAAGTTCAATGACGTTTTGCTTTACAGTTAATAAATACTGTAGTCATACCACACTACGCACATCACGAGGTGTGGTGGGAAGTCACTGAATGGAAAAGATAAGAGATGGGAGAGGGTCTCCAGAGTGTTAAGAAATAGGAGCTCTGGACCTGCAGGCCACGACCCCCACAGCCTAAGCACCCATGTCTCTACCCCCCCATCACGTGCCCCACTGCCCGTCCTCACCACCTGCGTGACCGGGTCCTTACGCCTTCGTCACGTGCACCATACACCCCTGCTCCAGCACCCGTCGTGCTCTGCGCGGCCTCACCAGATGCTGGATCAAACTCCATGAGCCCGCGACACCTGCCGGGTTGAGCTCCGAAGCGCCCCGTCGCGCGCCTCGTACTGTTCTGCGCAGACGCGTGCGGATTCCAGCTCGAACGCCCC